AATTACTCCCCGATCACTTTGTTTATATGCATAAGCAACCGGCGAGGAGAAGAAAGCTGTGAGACAAAAGATCCCGTGAGTGGGGAAACGCAGTACGGTGTGCAAGAAAATTTGGCATGGTCGGTTTGTGGGCTCATGTTTTTTTTTTATTTTAAAAAAATCTACTCGTGCCTCATAACCTAACAATGTGGCATGTTAAGGATATTATTAAGTATTCTCTTTTTCAAAAAAAAAAAAAAATCGTCCCACTTCAAATAAGATATAAAATCTTATCTTTTTCAAAAATATTATTTATATTTACAAATTTGCTTAGATATTAAAGTTGTAAATTATATATTTTTAAAACTACATGAAACATTTTATAAAATAATAAGTTGCTAAAAAATATTTTATTTTATCAAATGATCAATGAAAATATACAAATAAACAAAATTTATTGAGAGCCTAGAATTATGGTAACTAGGATTATATTTCTTGGACGGAGGAAGTACGTTTTTATACGTCCTCTATCTAACAAAGATTAACGCTTTAAGCAAAAACAGAGTAGAATTTCAAGTATTTTTATTTTATCTTATTTAATGATTGGTATAAAAATAAAAAAATAATACTTTCATATTTAAATACAATATCGAAAATCTATAAAAACAAGTGGTGATAAAAATATTTTATATATCAAATAAATATTGAAAATGTACTAATACTCCGTATTAAACAAAAATTCTGATTTTTAAAGAGTGAAGTGGGACTATTCTCAAGGAAGAGAAGGAGTAATTGTATATCATATTGAAAAGTTGAAAATGATGAAGATCCAATTTTTCATTTAATAACGATAACTTTATTAAATTTCGTCCATAGTTTGCTTATTAACATTGTATTTCTCATCTTACATACTCTGTAGTGTTTCACTGAGATATTTAAGGCATTTTTATGGTCATTGGTTTTTATGGTTTAACGATAACTTCAAGGGGTTTTCTCTTGAAAGCTAATTGGGATTGTTTTGACACTTTAAGTCCAGTCATGAAGCCAGACACAATTTGTGTTGTATTACTAAGTATTGCATTTACTAACAGCTGGACTTTGCGAGAGTTAGACACAAGAGGTCGATCTGTTCTTTTGACAGTGGACACCAGTGTCATATCATAATACGAGACTTTTCTATATGGGGATCTTAACGTACTTCGTCCAATCCAACGTGCTTCAATTCGATTCTTACTCCCTAACCCACCCCACAAATCCCACACACTGTATGTGCTTAGCCTCTCGCCTCCCTTGTGCGCCTCCCCAATTTGAGTGGCAATTCACCGTCCAATGTTGATCGCGAATTGCCGCCTCATTTGGGAGTGGGGTATCGGCGGGGCAAAAGGGGAGGGGTTGTGGGGTAGGAACCACTCTAGGTTGCCACTTTATTTCACGACCTTCAGTTACCTCGCAATGTCTTATTCTTTTATGGATCTTATTGCATTTTTTCAAATCTTGACTAGCAGGGAAGGATTATTAACGGACGCCGTTCCACAAGTGCATATATATATGTTCTTTATAGCGGGCGAAAATTATTTCTTAAAAATCCACCCGCTAGAAAAAAAAAAAAAAAGTCTCCTAATTCTTGTATTGAGGCAGAGTACGTACCTTGCCCATGCATGCACATGGCGTCATCAAGCTCCAATGGGTGCAAAATCATGCATCTCTCAACTTTGAGGGCTTCCAAAGTGCCCATCCTGCTTATTTCGCGATAATCAACGTCATGTACTTCCCCCGTCCCTTAAAACTTTTCAACTTTCATATCTTATACTACCTCCGTCCCATAGTATTTGTCCACTTTCATTTTTACACACCATCCAATACAATTCTTTAATCCATTTTATCTTGTAATTTGTATATTAAAAAATTATAGAAATTTTATATTACTCGTAATAATCTATATGTTAAGACAAATCAAACAAGATCACACATGACTATATTTAGGCTTACACATTGATAGAATTTGATGAGTCAAAGTGCTTTGATGAACAGTTCCAAAAGTCAAAACTAGACGAATAATCCGGGACGGAGGGAGTATGTCCTATAAAGCATTTCAATTTGACCTAAATGGACACAATTGCCCTTTTTTAAATTAATTGAACATACCTCAACTACCTTATACTCCCTCCGTCCCGGAAAACATGGGAATTTTGATTTTGAAGAAGGATTTAAGGGGAGTGTATTTTGGCATTGAATTTCCAAAAATGTCCTTTGATGTGATGGGTAAAAGTATGATTTGATGGATAGATTATTAGTAAAAAGGTATGATGTGATAGGTAGGGTATGAAAAAGTAAGGGGTAAAAGTGACTTTTTAATAGAAATGAGAAGTGTTTTTTGGGACGGATGAAAAAAGAAAGGAGAAAGGTTTTCTGGGACGGAGGGAGTACGCCTTACCCATTTTAACATTTCTCGAGCCCGACTCGTTTCAATTGTCATCGTTTAACTTTGGTCAAAATCAAGAGCTTCCCTTTCCAAAAGTCAAAATAAGAAATATTTTACAAGAGAGAGGAAGTAACCAATTTTACCCTTACTTTTTCATGCCCTACCTATCACATCATACCTTTTTACTAATAATCTACATATCACATCTTACTTTTACACATCACATCAAAGGTATTTTTGGAAAGTCAACACAAAAATATCCCTCCTTTAAATCCTCAAAAAGTCAAATAGGGAACTTTATTTGAGGACGGAGGGAGTATGTAAGAAGAACTAACCTAGGGGTACCCCATTTGCACACCAAGTTTTCACAGACACATACAAACATGTAATGTCTGTGCACGCGTAGACATTGTGTGTCTATGTATGCATGTTAAAACTTGGTGTATAAATAGGGTATTCGATCTTAGTGTACCTCTAGCATTGCCCATGTAAGAATTCTGTGTATCATTCCAAGCCACATGACAATTTTTGACTCATAAATATACTCCGTCTTACTTTATCAAAATATGTAAAACAAAGCGCATACTCCTTACACTATATTTGGTTAGAGGAATTTGAAAGGAAAAAAAAGAAAATAAAATAGAAAATAACTTTTCTTATTTGGTTAGAGAGGAAAAAAGGGTGAGAGAAGAAAAAGAGAATATTAAGGAAAACAGTGAGAAGACAAAATGAATTTTAAAAAAATTAAAAATAAAAAAACTCTTATTTTAGTGAAAAAATGAAATAAAACATTTTTTATTATATTTTTCTATTGTTTAGTTTGAGTATGTGAGCAACTAAAAAATACGGAGTATAGTTGAGTGTAGTGTAAGTTTAATTGTATGAAGAAAGAATAAATCTACTGTACTCTAAAGAGTGTATCCCAAAATGTACCCAAAGATTTACACTTACATTTTGTGTCAATGCAAATGCGAGATTGATGACTTACATTAACACAAAATGTCAGTGCAAAATTTTGCAATCGCACTGACATTTTGTATCAATGTAAATCATCAACATATAATTGTACTTTGAATATATTTTGGGCTATAATATTTGGGGTACACTTATCATGGTCGATGAAGAAATGCACGAAAAGACTTAACCATGCTAGAGTTACACCATGGAGTGTGCCCAAATATACACTAAAGATATGCACTAACATTTTGATGGTTCACACTGATACAAAATGTTAATGCGATCAAAAAATGTGCACTAACATTTTGTACTTGTATGAACCATCACACTAGCACAAAATGACAGTGCACACTTTTGGGTACACTTGTGTACAATTAGACTATTAGAGGTACAATTTTTATGATAGAAGTAGCTTAATTCGAAAAGAATACGAGTACTAAACCTTGATTTGACAGATCAAGTAATCATGGCATGCATCTAGCCAGCCATCCATCTACGAGACAACGACTTAACCTTTGTTTTTGGTCATGTTTTTCTTCCACTCATCATTTATACACATTTTGAGTATACTAGAGAGAACTATATGCCATTGAGTAATTGGCATATGTCAACATTAATTAGGATATCCTTCCCACTTCTTGTTCCACCTTCTTTCTTATTCCTCCAACTTGTTTTTTTTTGTGAACTTCTCCTCCACTTGAATTAAATTATATTTTCTTCGTTCCAAAATTATCGTTTGACTTCGAAAAACATGCAAAATCTCTTCTTGTAAAACTATTTTCTTTACAATTTGTAAAGACAAGTATAAAAATAAGAAATACAAAATACATATTTAAAAAATATATCAATAATTTTATAAAACAAAAAGTGACAAATATTTTATTTTATCAAATGATAAATAAAAATATACAAACAAAGGTAATTAATTCCAGGTTTTGCGTTCTCAAGGAATACGTCTCTCTTCTGCCCCTATCACCATAGAAACTTGAGCCTAAGCATGAACTTTCCCTACATGCTTATCAAGGGACATATCCTAGAGCAATCAAAGCCATTTGAAATCTAACCCTGAATCAGAAGATGAAACTGTAGGCAGGTAATTATTTGCAATAATGTAAAATCTCTATTGCCTATGAATAACCTCAAAGTTGATGCAACAAAAGAAGCTTTGGACTTAGCTTTCTTGACTCACTATATGACAGTGATGAACATATCTTCCAAGATGAAAGTTGTAGTCAAACAAATTGGGACGATCTCTTAAGGAGAATAACCGATTAACTCGTTGACGATGGCATGGATATGGTCGAAACTCTTAAACTACAACATGAGAGCATGCATGTAAAAGACAAGGAATATCTTGAACTAATAACTAAGACCTACTATGTGGAGCTGCAAAGAAGACTTCAACCAATGCCATCTGTGTTGTCTTCATACATTTGTTGCCCCCTAATTATAAGAATAAGTGGTAGAATATGGATGTCATATTCACTGAAATAGCGTGATCAGTTAGGAATTTAATGCAAGGTACAACTAAACACTAATATCAAATCATAATATGTGAATCAAGGCCAAATAGAAGGAGAAGAAAGTTGATGATATGCAAGAGAACGGAACTAAAATAAAATGCAAGAGACCAATGAAACCAGTCTAGGTTAGAGATTTAATGTCAATAATGCAAGTTGCGAAGAAATAAGAGGAAAAGGGGTATCAACTAGGGAGTAAGCAAATCACTCCGATTTCCACTTCCAAAACCGGGAAAGAATCCTTTAAATAAAAGCTCACTTCTGTGATGCTCGTCTCAAGAGAACTACAAACACATCAAACAAACTCCTCAAGTATCCTCCACTCCCGTGGTAGGACTTGAGAGAGGAGACTCGCGGCTAGAATTGTCAATCCCAACCTCGTCCTTAATTAGCTCCTCCATGGTCACACCAAATTTGTTCCCTCCCAACTCTGACTCTAGTTTATTGTCACTCTCTTCCTTACCCACCGATTGAATAGTACCCACCACTATCAACTCCAAACCTTTATTAATGATAATCTTCAGGTACTTCTCCACCGATGTATTCTCTTCCATAGGTCCCACCACCTCTCCACTTTGATGAAGGTTGAAAACTAATGTTTGGAGAGGATAGTGACAATAAGGGGTAAGGTTATAAGGATTAGGCATATGATAAGCTTTAGGCCAACCAATGCATTGCCCATCAACATTAGGAGGGGAATACGCGAGGGTTTGAGGGTTAATAGTTTGAGGAGGGGTAGGTGAAAGGTGAGACAAAGGGTATGACACTTTGAGTAAAGGAAGAGATCAGATGCTTGTGAGGATAAAGAAATTGATGGGTGGATGGGAATAGACTCAAAGTCCTAAGTGAATATTCAAGCTTAGTTATGGTTGGGTCAAGAGAGAAGACTTGAGCTTAGAGTTCATGCTCCACTTGAAGATCTTCAATGAATGAACTATCATAAGGATCCTCCATGATTGCATAAACCTATGAAAGAACAAGAACACAAGAAAAACAAAAGCAAACGAATAAAAAGAAAGAAAGACCAAATTTCCATTAACAACTTTTCAATCAAGTTAGCTACGACACCAATCTTGATGTAGGATATCTTTGATGTGTCGTAAGGCACCAAAAACCCTCGCTCAAAAAGCGATGTGAAAATGGAATGGAAAATAATTAATGAATGGATAAAGTGGTAGAGAAACACGAATTTTAAATTATAATTTGTGAAGGAGACAAAAGTCTATGATATGCAAGAGAATGGAACTAAAAGAAAATACAAGACAAAAATGAAAGCAAGCCTATATTAGAGATTTCATGTTGATAATGCAATCTGCCAAGGAATAAGAGGAAAGGGGGAAATCAACTAGGGAAAGAGCAAATTACTCCGATTTCCACTTCCATAGAAACAGAGAAAGAATCCTCTATAAGAGCCTACTTCATGGGGAAGCTCCTCTAACAAAATGAATACAGGAAAATATAAATGAGAAATGATATTTGCATCCCATTTTTTGTTATTGACATTTTAAAATGCATTATCACTTCTCTCACATTAATAATGTATTTTGAAGTTTTAATAAAAAAATAAAATGTAAATATCATTTCCGAATATAAATAGAATAGAAATCCTCAAAAAAAGAAAAAATAGAATAGAAAGAATTGGGGGAGGGGGGGGGGGGAAGACCAAGAAAAATTTAATTCTGCAAATGTAAAAGAAGGAGAATAAGGGGTAAAATTGACATATACGTACCCAATCTGAAATGTTGCTGGCCTGCTGGTTCAGTTCTGCTCGTCACTAGGTCTTCTCGATCTCCGGTCGGATCTCGCAGCCTACTCGCCGGAAAGAGGGACAGCCTCGCCGTCTCTTTGTCGTCGTTTATGAGCCGTTGGGACTGTTGGTTCCTGGAGTTTCACGGATCGCTATTCGTCGCTGGAATTCGCAGTCAGCCTCGCCGCTCCCCGCTGGTGTGGACGCCTCTGGTAGCTCGCCACCGGTGGATGGAGGCTGGGCTGGAGTCGGAGGACGAAATCCGTCCGGGTCGGGTCGGCAATCTGGGTCGCGAGTAAAGAACGCCTCCTTGATGCGCGTCTTCTGATTGTGGGAGTAGGGGCTTAAACAAATCAAATACTCCGCGATTCGAATTTGCGTTATTCAAATACAAATTTAAATTCAAATATTATTTTTTATTCGAATATTAAACAAATACAAATACAAATAGGGATATATTCGATTCGGATGATATTCGAATATTCAAATATATGTATAAATACACAGACCATGTTTTCAACATCAAAAGTCAAGCAAAGTAATATACTACCTCCGTTTCTCAAAACAATTCCGCTTTTGACTTTGGAAAGAATAAGGAAGTGTTAAATTGTAGTTGACTTTCCAATTTTGCCCTTGATGTGATGGGTAAAAGTAAGATGTGATGGTTTTGTTGTTAGTGAAAAAGTATGATGTAATAGGTAGGGTATGAAAAAGTAGGGGTAAAAGTGGTTTTTTAATAGAAAAGGGAAGTATTTTAAGAAAAACAAAAAAAATGAAAGAGGAAGGGTTTTAAGAAACGGAGGGAGTAGTATAAAGTGTATTTAAAGTACTAAGAATTAAATAAATTAACGTAACACGAAAATATAAAGCATATGATTTTTAATAGTTATATTTTATAAAATATAATTTGTGTAAGATGTAAATGTATTAATATTTTAAGATACGGAATATAGTATAGTATAAGGAGTATCGTAAGTCAAATTACAAATCGATGTTGGTCGATCATATAAATTACATAGTATGCTTATTCAAATATTCGTTTATGATTCGATAACTATTCGAATATTAATCAAATACATATTCAAATCTTATTTTGAATTCGTTTCATATTCGGATTCGGATTCGTATTCGAAAAAATTAAACAAATACAAATTCAAATATATCGGTATTTGCTTCGATTCGGTTCGTTTACACCCCTATCTGGGAGGAGACTGGAGAGGAGTAGAATTAAGTTTGGGAAATTGTAAAATGACCCTTCATATCAATATCGCTTTGTAAAATGACCCTTCATATCAATATCCTTTGATGGGTGGAGGTAAATTATACTTTAATCTCAAATTAATGTAGTAAGTAGAGCATATACCTAGTATATGCAAAGAGCATATGCTTAACAAAATTACCTCACAATGCAGTTGTAGGAACCGAACTCATGTCTACTTTTTTCTACATGAAATACTATGAGTGATTATGTATGTTAAATTAATTCTATGTATGATTTCTATTGTTAGAACCTATTACTCGACATGAAAAGCTGAGCATTTAGTTTGTTTTACTTGCTACACGTATGTAACAAGAATGAAAAATATGAAAATAATGACCAACTAGCTTCAATGCTCCTTGTGGTTTAGAAAATTAGAACCAATACTCATATGTTTTCAAAACTTATTACTAAAGTTTTCTTAGTTTCAAAATGTTGCAAACACACCCTCTCTAATCATTTTCTGGTCATTTTCCTGCGAAGAGGAGATATTAGTGCCAAATTTCTAAACCACATGAGACACTTGTGCTCATTTCTTGTTTTTCATTTATTCTTTGTTTTCTTCCTTTTTTAATCTCTTTTTTTATCCAATCGTTTTCTTTTCCTAGAAAACTTTTTTTAAATTCATTTTCGTTTTTTTTTACTTCCTCTATCCAAAAATAACTTTTTCGATTTTACACACAAATTAAGGAAAAGTAAAAAATGTTTTGACTTTTCATATTTGTCTTTGGGTCATTGTAAAAAGTGAAATAAAGTATAGATATAGATAATATTTAATGAGTAAAGATGAAGTTAGTGATGTGGTTTAAAGAAAAAACATTTACTAAAAAAAGAAAACACAAAGCTAATTTATGGATAGACAAATAAAGAAAGTGGGAAGAATAGTTTGAAAACTTTAAAATCCTTTGTGTCTCAAATAAAAATAAAATGATAACATATACTCCATTTACATCAAATTAAATATTTTTAGGTTTCGTGTTTTTAGAATTTTTTGGTAAGTTAATAAAGAAAATCTAGAATAAAAAATAAAAATAAAAAATGGAAAAATGAAATAAAAAAATCAAAAACATGCAAAAAGAATCTTATAGAAAAAGGAATTTTCAAAACGTTAAAAAAGTCCTTAGAATTGGAGTGTTCAAAATAGATATTCATTTGTATTTGTTTATTTATTTTATTTCTTATTTTATTCCTTATCTTTTAAAGCTCTCAAAAAATGTTTTTATTTTTTTATTTTAAAAAGCAAACAGTAAAAAATGTTAATTTCAAACATAATTTTTTATATAAAAAAAGATTTTAAAACTTTGATTAAAAAACAAATAAAGGAAAATCGAGAAAAAATACATGAAAAATAAGAAATGAGAAGCAGGCCCCCCTAGTGTTTGGAAAATAAGCACCAATACTTCCCTCTTCGCTGGAAAAATGGACGAAAAATTATCAGAGGAGGTATGGATGCAACATTTTGAAACCACATGGACTTTCGAAATTAGTTTTGAAAACATGGAAGTTATTGTTGTATATTTTCCAAACGACGGGGGTACTGGTGCTATTTCACCGATCTTATACTCCACCTGTCCCTAAATCAATTACTCTTTATGCAAAACGAAGTAAAATTCTAAGTTTTTTCAAATCATTTTATTTAAAATTTGGTATATAAATAAAAAATAAAATTTATATATTTAAAAAGTACATCTAAAGTTTTACAAAATAAGAGGTGTAAATCATTTTGAGACGAAAGTATTATTACTTTTTCTAGATTTCCAAATCTGTATTTAATGTGATGTATAAAAGTAAAATGTGATTTATAGGTTAAAAATAAATAGATACAGCATGATAGGTTGTGTAAGGGTTAAAAAGGATAAAATACACTTTTTAATGTAAAAATATGGAGTACTTTATTAGAAAAAATAAAAAAATAAAAATAGAATTGTTTTATGAAAATGGAGGAGTACAACTCTACAAGAAATCAATACTGGAGATTTTATTTAGGAGTATATAAATTGAAAAAGACTAAACAAAAGTTGGAGTTCCTTTTTTCCCCTTTTCTATAAAGTAAATTTATCGGGTGCCAAATGTTTACCAATTACGGCCGCCCGACCTTAATTAATTTCTTAATGGTCCCTAAAAAACATAATCACTCCATTTTTTACCCTTTTATCCCCTTCTATATATCACACCTCCTCCACCTGCACTTCTCCCCTTCCCACTCTTCTCCTCTCCTTCATCTTCATCATTTCACAGTTTTCCTCTTTTTTTTTTCTCCTTTTTTTTTTCAGATCTTCCATATCTGAGAAGTTCGTTGAACAATTCAGATCTGTTTCTTCGCTTCTTCTTCTTCTTTTTTTCAGATCAGAAACGATTGATTGATGCTGCTTGATTTGTTTTTGATGTATGAGATTGATGTCTCCTGTTCTCAGTGAAATCCTCCGTTCCGGTTTTATGATCAGCAACTCTTTCATACGCAGAGCTCATCTTGTTCAATCCTTCTCCGTCGTCTTCCTCTACTGGTTTTATGTTTTCTCAGAAATTGACCGCCTGATCTGCATCGTCTAGGTATCTAGACTGCAAGATTTACATAGATTTTCTCGTGGAAATATATAATAATAAGTAATAAGGAAAAAAAAGTGAAATCATCGGCTGTAATTTTAGCGATTTCTAGTGTTTCGGAGTTTCTGGCGGTGTAAAAAATGGCGTCGTCGAGCGGGAATTCATCAGGGTCGGCCGTACAGATCACGAATTCCGGCTCGGAGGGAGATCTGCAGACGCTGATGGACGAGAGGAAGAGGAAGCGGATGCAATCGAACAGGGAATCGGCGAGGAGGTCGAGGATGAGGAAGCAGCAGCATCTGGACGAGATGATGGCGCAATCGGCGCAGCTCAAGGCGGAGAACGGCCAGATCCAGGGCAAGATAAACGCGACGACGCAGCATTTCGTGGCGATCGAGGCGGAGAATTCTGTTCTGAGGGCTCAGATGATGGAGCTGAGCCACAGGCTTCAGTCTCTGAATGACATCCTCAGCTACATCGACTCGTGCTCCATCAATGGCGTCTTCGATTCACTTGGGGACGATTGCTGCTTCCAGCAGACAGGGGGTGGGATTCCACCTCACCAGGCCAATTATCTGATGAATAACGGCGGCAGCAGCAGCAATCCATGGATGCTCATGAACCAGCAGCCCATCATGGCTTCTGCCGATTTCCTCCAGTATTGACCGGGCACGGCGGCGTCGCCGCCGTGGGGTATAACTGGAAATGTCTTTATTATTGTATTATTTTTATTGTTTTTGTTGTCGTTTTGTTACTTGTTTTTTATTGTTATTATTATTATTATTATTATTGTCAAGGGTTTTGTAGAATTAATGGGATGAATGAACGGCCATCCGTGGATGTATTCATTTCATTAAAGTATAATACTGTATTAATAAATAATGTTCAGAATTATCTATCTTCTGCTTAAATTAAGTTTTTTTTAGCTTTCAATCATACTCCGTATCATATACACCGAGTATTTTTATTTTCTAAAATACTTGGTAGATAACCCACTTAGGCTTTGTTTGGAAATAATTTGTGAGATTGCCATTTCGAATACTTTTCTGATGAACAGATTAATTTATAAAACATCAAAAGCTGCCCTCCGCCCAAAAGAAAAACATCAAACAAGTTATGCTAGGGTAACCTAAATATTTTGGGATACAAATAACCCTACATTTTGCACAAATCAAACACACAATGAGCGTGGGGTTAAGGTAACTTGGTGGTGTTATGGTAACTCTAATAGGAGTAAAATGATAATAATGCTACTATGAAGGTGTTTGGGAGTGTGGTGAATAATGTAAAAGTATAAGTCATAATATATAAAATGCGTCCAACAACCTCAATCATGTCTAGACAGTCATCAATGGCCTTATTCAAAAATGAAGTTAAATCTCACTCATTGTTTTTTTCCAACAAAATTTACCCACCTTAACTATGATTCAAGTATATGACCGCGATGATTCGTTGAACTCATTTCGTTTCACTATGTTACACTCATTTCGTTGAACTAAATGAGTTGAACATAGTTCAACGTTTGAAACGAATGAGTTAGACGAATAGTGAAACTCATTTCGTACCTCTCCATATCAGTCGAGTGGCTTCCGCTCCTAGTCACTAAGAAGTGCTATTCTGTCCTCCTCTCACCCGCCCGTTTCATTTCCGTGCCGGAGGAAATGGGATTCGAACCCATGATACAATCTTCTTGTATGTCGATTTAGCAAACCAATGCCTTAAGCCACTCAGCCATACCTCCAAGTTGTTGATCGGAATGTATTGGATGAAATGGGAACAGTTTTAATTGAATTGTGTTAAATGATTGATTTGCATTTTGTTTAGGAGCTTTTTCGGTACGCAAAGATTGTCTTCACTCTTAGAATATACTACCTCCGTCCCAGAGTATTTGTCCACTTTCATTTTTACACACCATCCAATACACTTCTTTAATCCATTTTATATTGTAATTTGTATATTAAAAAATTATAGAAATTATATATTAATAATCTATATGTTAAGACAAATCAAACAAGATCACACATGACTATATTTAGGCTTACACATTGAGAGAATTTGATGAGTCAAAGTGTTTAGATGAACAGTTCTAAAAGTCAAAACTGGACGAATACTCCGGGACGGAGGGAGTAAAATTTACCATCTTAGGCCTACAACTACAAACTTGAGTTTTTACTTTAACTAGTATTTCTACCCGTGCCATGCACGGGTTCGGACAGAATTTTTTTTTAATTCTATAATGTAGATCTTGATTTTTATTTGACATATTATTTAAAGGTCAAATATAAATGATCTAGGTTAGATGTATTTTTACAAATTTATAATGTTTACCCAGTATAAATTCAAAAATATATTAATACAAAAGTTTAGTGATCCAGTGATTTTTTCCTCACATTAATTTAAAAAACCTAAATTACCGACTTTGTAATTCTATACTTCCTCTGTCCCTGAGTATTTGTCAACTTTTGACTTTTTTGTCAAAATTGGTTAATTTTGACCTCAAATTAAAGTTTTTTTAGATCTTGATACAAAATTACTTTTATTAGATTTATTATATCATCCATTTTCAAAATATTTTTTTATGTACTTAATATATAATACTCCCTCCGTCCTAAAAAGATTTACACGTTTCAAAAAAATTGCGTCCCACAATCCCTTACCCATTTCTATTAAAAAACCACTTTTACCCTTTACTTTTTCAAACCCTATTTATCACATCATACCTTTTTCCTAATAATCTACACATCACATCCTACTTTTACCCATCACATAAAAGGTATTTTTGGAAAGTCAACACAAAATTATCCCTCCCTTAATTTCAACTTTAGTCAAAATGGGTAACACTTTATGGGACGGAGGGAGTATATATTTTAGTTAATTCTAAGTCAAATATTGAAAACAATTAGTCGGAAAAGTCAAAACTGGACAAATACTCAGTGACGGAGGTAGTAATTAAAAAATAGGATTCTTCTCATCCATATTCCTTATCTCCCCCCCCCCCACACAATGATTATAAAAAGTTATTATTCATTCTTGCATTATTAAAAAACAAAATCTTAAATTAATGATCGTAAATCTCGATGATTAAAATTTTAATTTTAAAATATTAAGAATCAATTATTATTCTCCCCCACATTTATTTTAAAAAACATTAAAATCTTAGTGCTCTAATAATTTTGTCAGGATAGTATTCTGGTCAAGATATAAAATGTTTTATCAAAATACAAATAGTTACAAATGGGAAATTGTATTTTCTTTGATGTGGTTGTAACCTGTAACTTAGTCTCGAACTTATTAGCTACTGCACTTTGGATTTTCTGCACAATTTTTCTTAATTTTTTGATTATCCTAAATGTTCATTGTCACAAAACTTCTCACGCTCCCCTCCACACCTTGATCTTGTTTGACACAGTCTTCTTTGTATAAATTTGTGCCGTCTCATAAAATATCATCTTATAAAGATTCCATGTACGATTGCGTAAATGAAAACTTAGGAAGTAAGTTCTTTCTCATTCAAAATTTCTTAATTTTATTTATAAATATTTTGAATTGTAACACAATATAAGTATGTACAGAGTAAATTGTAATTACAATATAAGATTATTTTAATTAAAAATAGTAAACCAAGTTACCAAGATAAAGTATAAAAGTCCTATTAAATCTTTTTTCTAATTTGTTTGTTTTAAAAATTCAATAATTTAAATTAGTCAAATTGTATGGAAGTACTTTTATTTCATATCACAATTAGTCATCTTGCCATAAACAAACCTTCTATGTAAGATATTCATTGAGTCTATCTCATATTATACATATTATTCATTCGTCTAAAAATAAAGTACATAATCATGACACGTATAATTATTCTTTAAAAAATACTCCGTATAGTACTAAGTCTTTTAGTCACCTATTTATAAATTATAAATTTCTTTGTGCAATCTTGAAATAGTCTCTTCGAATAATGTATTTTCCAAAATCAGCGTTTTTAAGCATTAATTATCGATGGAATATTTTATAGTTGAGATTTATTCACTCAGTGTCTTCCGTATATGTTTCTTAAATGAATGTTCAATGGAGGAAATTTAGGTAATTTTAAAAAAGTACTTGTTGTGACTTCAATGAAGTCAAAAGTGAAATACATATGATTATTTTTAAATGTTTTTGTAATTTTTCTTTGTGAAAACCCTTGTAACTATATTTGTTTTGCTCTTTAAAACTAAATTCATATCAAGTGAAAAAAAATTTGGGTATGTAAAATATATGTGATTATTTTTGTGTGATAATTTTCTAAAAATTTATATGAAAAATGTAACTATTATGTTAGAAGTTTATTTTAAAAATTTATACTATTATTTTAATTATTTTAGAAGTTGATTTTTTAATTTTTTAAAAATATTCTCACTCAATTATATAAAACTTCATGTATTGTTCTAATTTCTTTAACAATACTTCCTTTGTGTTTGGATTTGATCTTCTCAATTAACTTTTCTTGTCAATTTTGTATACTTTAACACCAATATATAGAACAAACTTTGTCTTTCGGTAGAAATATATTACAAATATCTTCTTTTTGAAACTAAGGAATCTCTTAATATTTGGTGGCTCCTATTTTGGATATAAAAAAATGCATTTTTATTACAATATTTTCTCCATGTTTATTATTATTTTGGTACGGAGTAATTTTTTCCAAAAAATTAAACACTGTACATAAGACATATACTCCGTATACAACTTAAATTGGATCTATCCATATTTTGATTAATATTGCCACGTCATTCAATCGTTAATAGGTGGCCGGTGATCTGTTAAAATATTGCCATGTAGATTCTTCACTTGTCGCAATTATAGGAGATTAACTCTCAAATTTAATATGTAAAGATTCAGAAATATTTACCAAACTTTTAATTTCATTTTTTCCACATCAAAATCTATGTGACATATTAGGTGTTAAAAAGAGGCTCATGAGTAAGCCATATGTGAGTTCTTAATTACCCGAGTCTCATTTTTATACATTTAGGAAAAGATAAAAAATTGCATATTTTTCCTAATTTTTTTATGATCATTATATTTATATATTTGGCTAATTTAAACATATTCTGTTTGTATGAGAATAACATTAAATATAAACTAATCATTATTAAAATTGTACTTTTTCCAAAAAAAATTACTTTTTTAAATCTGCACTAAGTTAAAATTTATACTGAAAAAATATATTTTAAATTAACTAATCATCTATTTGTGTTCAACTTTTTCTTCTTTCTAAAAAATATTGTAAAACTTGATAATGAATATTTTGATCTAGTTTTTTAAATAGTATATTAAATGTATGTGAAATTAATATACAGGTGAAGTGTGTATCTTATCTACCATTATAAGTTGCGTTGTAAATGAAAAGAAAATTTTATTCGTTTTAAGTTCAGTAGTCAATATAATTTTTGAAGAAATATGATATTTTTTATATTAAATAAAGTTATTATTATAATAATTAGATCAAAATTTTATTACTAAATGTTAAAAGTTCTCATTTTTAATTTGTTTTAGTTTGTTTTAATTTATTTTTATTTTTCTATAAAAATGATTTAATATCCTTTTTATTCAATTGACTAATTTTTAAGCTTAATTAGAGTCCGAGCAAAATATTATGGTAAAAATTTTACTGTAAATTTTGTTAGTTAAAAAAGAAATTTTTCTATTTTCCATTAATAATTTTTATTTTATGCAATACTATATTTATGTTTCACTATTTTTATTATGTTACATAATTTCTTTTATTATATCATAAATTACTTGAAGGAAAGTTCAATTCAATTGTCTTGATGACATGGCTGATTAGGTGTCAAAAAACACTCCAGTCATCACGCCAAATGTCGCAATTCTAAGAGTTCAACTCTCAAATATTATATATTAAGGATTCATTTTTTGACATAGTATTAAAGGCTTGATAACCAAGAGGTAAAGAGTTCAAATGAGTATCGCTGCCCCTAGTTTTTTAAAAAATTAATTTTAACGTGCAAGGTTCGTGCGAGAAAAAAATTTACGGTCACGATCGAAGACCAAACACAATGTAAAGTAACAACAACTAAGTGACAATTGCCCGTCATCAAAGTTAACCAAACCTAAATGTGATTCGATATTTGACGGCGATGATGATACAATATTAGGTAAAATATGGAGGACTTTAATGAATTGTACTCAATGATAAATTACATTTTGTTCGGAAGTACTTTTAATTTTTTGGTACAAAAATATCGTCCTCGCGAAAGAGTAGGGAGATGCATGCATGCGATCCGCGTGTTGTTGTAATCGAGTGGTGGTGATTGAAGACCAAACACGTGTAACGTAACTGACAACTGCGTGCCCATCATCAACGTTAGCTGACAATGACCGTTACGAAACCATCTCAGACCACTTTTCCCTTCGCCATATGTCCACCACCACACTTTCATCTCAGAAAAACTATATGCCTACATAGAAAACCAATGAAGACACCCGAAAGGTACGAAGGGAGATGCATGCACACGATCTGTGCACTGTTGCTGTTATCGAGCGGTGGTGATCAAGAACCAATGAAGACACCCGAAAGGTACAAAGTCTCTGCGCTTGCGCAGAGAGATTCCTCTCCCTCTCCCGTTGGTCGACACGTGTAACGTAACCGAAAATTAAACCGGGCGCCTGTCATTAAAGCTAGCTTAGAATGACCGTTACGAAATCATCCAAGACCTCTTTTCCATTTGTCTTCCACCACCACACTACCATCTTAGAACGTGAAATGTCAAAATTAACACGCAATTAATAACATAAAATTAATATATAAAATAATTTTTTTATTTATTTTGAAATCGAATTTTTTCATTCTAAAAAGTTGCAAAAATATGTTCAAATAACATTTCTAAAAAGCTTGGATACATAATGTCTCGAGAAAAAAACAATATGAAAAACTACATCTAGAAAAATTATATGCCTACATAGAAAACCAATGAAGACACCTAAAAGGTACGAAGGGAGATGCATGCACGCGATCCGTGCGTTGTTGCTGATATCGAGCGGTGGTGATCGAAAACCAATGAAGACACCCGAAAGGTACGAAGTCTCTGCGCTTGCGCAGAGAAATTCCTCTCCCTCTCCCGTTGGTCGACACGTGTAACGTAACCGAAAATTAAACCGCGCGCCCGTCATTAAAGCTAGCTTAGAATGACCGTTACGAAATCATCCAAGACCTCTTTTCCATTTGTCTTCCACCACCACACTACCATCTTAGAACGTGAAGTGGGAAAATTAACACGCTTGATCATCCACTTATCTCAATTAATAACATAAAATTAATATATAAAATAATTTTTTTATTTATTTTGAAATCGAATTTTTTCATTCTAAAAAGTTGCAAAAATATGTTCAAATAACATTTCTAATAAGCTTGGATACATAATGTCCCGAGAAAAAAACAATATGAAAAACTACAGTCAGAAAAAATATATGCCTACATAGAAAATCAATGAAGACACCTGAAAGGTACGAAGGGAGATGCATGCACGCGATCCATGCGCTGTTTCTGTTATCGAGCGGTGGTGATCGAAAACCAATGAAGACACCCGAAAGGTACGAAGTCTCTGCGCTTGCGCAGAGAAATTCCTCTCCCTCTCCCGTTGGTCGACACGTGTAACAAAACCGAAAATTAAACCGCGCGTCCGTCATTAAAGCTAGCTTAGAATGACCGTTACGAAATCATCCAAGACCTCTTTTCCATTTGTCTTCCACCACCACACTACCATCTTAGAATGTGAAATGTCAAAATTAACACGCTTGATCATCCACTTATCTCAATTAATAACATAAAATTAATATATAAAATAATTTTTTTATTTATTTTGAAATCGAATTGTTTCATTCTAAAAAGTTGAAAAAATATGTTCAAATAATAACATTTCTAATAAGCTTGGATACATAATGTCTCGAGAAAAAAACAATATGAAAAACTACAGTCAAAAAAACTATATGCCTACATAGAGAAAATTAAAAAATGATACTCCGTATTATTTTTCAAAGTCCCAAAAGAAGGTCTAATTACTTTATACTAATAAGTTTATGTCTACATTGTCATCCAAGGCCTTATTCCAAAATTAAGTTATATCTCACTCGTTGTTTTTTTTTAACAAAATTTACCCAAACTTAACTATGATTCAACTATTTGACCGTAGTGACACAACATTGGATGAAATGGGAAAGGTTTTAATTGAATTGTATTAAATGATTAATTTACATTTTGTTTAGATGCACTTTTTTTTGTACAGAAACATCATCTTCACTCTTAGAATATAAAATGTATGTTGGGCATACAACTACAAATTTGAACTTTTGGTTCAATTGATTCTTTGACATAGTATCAGGGCTTTGATGCAAGTTTTGAGCAAAAAAAATTGCGGTGACAATCGAAGACCGCACAATGTAAAGTAAAAACAACTAAGTGACAACCGCCCGTCATCAAAGTTAACTCAGTCTAAATGTGATTCAATAATATATATTTGACCGCGGTCATGACACAATATTAGGTAAAATACGGAGGGCTTTAATGAATTGTACTAAATGATATTTTACATTTTGTTCGAGAGTACTTATAAATTTTTGGTACAAAAACATCAGCCTCACGAAAGAGTATGAAGATGCATGCACGCAATCCGTGTGTTGTTGTTGTTGTTGTCGTCGAGCGGCGGTGATCGAAAACCAAACACGTGTAACGTAACTAACAATCACACACCCATCATCAATGTTAGCTGAAAATGACCGTTACGAAACCATCCAAGACCCTTTTCCATTTTCCGTTTACATCCACCACCACACTATCATCTTAGAAAATGAAATGTCAAAATTAACACACTTCATCGTTCACCAATCCCAATTAATAACATGAAACTAATATAAGAAATAACTTAATTATTTGTTTTGAAAATGGAATTGTTTGTTTCTAAAAAGTTTCTAAAAGGTGTTCAAATAACATTTCTAATAATGCTTAGATACAGAATATGTCTCGAACAAAACACATTATAAAAAATTAAAGTCGGAAAAATAATGTGCCTAACTAGGAAAATGAAAGATGACATTATTTTTTCAAAGTCCATAGGGAGGGTTCAAATGAATTGTAAGAATTAACTATGATTATTAGTTAAGTAAGAATTATTTCATAGGATAAAAGTTTTTTAGAATATTTAATATTCTAAAGGTGAAAATTTGTTTAAGAAAAGATTAATTTTCAAGGGTTTTCAAATATAATTTTTTGAAAATTAACCCAACCTAAATGTGATTCAAGTATTTGACCGTGCTGATGACACAATATTGGATGAAATAGGGAGGGTTCAAATGAATTGTATTAAACAATTAACTTACATTTTATTCGGGGTGTATTTAATTTTTTGGTACAAAAACATCGTCCTCGCGAAAGAGCTACAGAGATGCAATGATGCATGCACGCGATCCGGGCGTTGTTGTTGTGATCTGATACAATTTGAAGAGCCTGACGGGGAAGACGATCACCGCCTGGGTAGAGCCATCCCACACGGTGGAAGAGTTGAAGAAGAAGATTCAGGACAAGGAAAAAATCCCGGCGGAGGAGCAGCGGCTAATCTTCGGCCTCCGCCAGCTTGAGGACGGCCGGACGCTCGGCCACTACAAGATTGAGAAGGAGTCCACCGTCACTGTCGCCCTCCGACTCCGCAGCAGCATTATGAGATCTTGACATGGTATCAGAGTCTCGTTGACTAAGAGGTCACGGGTTCAAAACTCAGCGCCACCCAGTTTAAAAACAAATTAAGGTTTCACGTGCAAGGCTCGAAAAAGACTACGCCTGCACGTGAGGGGCGTGTTAGAATATAAATAACTGTTCCTGGGCCACAACCACAAGCTTGAGCTTTTGGTTGAATGGGTTCCTTGACATGGTATCAGAGCAGGTTTTGGCCCACCTCGTTTGTCAAGGTGTCCGTCTAGACGTTCATTCCTAGCGGCCCGTTTGTCTTTAGCCCAGTTGTCCGATCACAACAACAACGCCCGGATCACAACCCCAGATCCGTTCGTGAAGAGCCTGACGGGGAAGACGATCACCGCCTGGGTAGAGCCATCCCACACGGTGGAAGAGTTGAAGAAGAAGATTCAGGACAAGGAAAAAATCCCGGCGGTTGGGGTACGGTTCTGGGGTTGGACCGTCTGTGGCGTGTCCATAGGGAGGGTGTCGGGCTGTCGTCCGTGACTGGTGGGACGGGTCTGGGGTTGGACCATCAGTGGGACAGGAGCATGTGAGCCTGGGCTTGGAGGAAAAATAGGGGTTATAGGAGAGGGTGACGGGAGGGATGACAATTTGGGATATGGAAACTGATCCTCGACGAACCGAACATGACGAGAGACATAAACTTTTTGAGACACGGGTTCATAGCATTTATACCCTTTAGTGGTGGG